ACTTTCATTTCACTGGCTGTTGCTATTCCTGCTGTCTGGGGCAAGACTGGGAACCGAAACATGGAAGGAAATGATGACTGAAGTTTCACTGAAACTTTTCTTGGCATGGCATTCATTTTCACAATCCCTCACCATCAGCTTCCTTCAATTGCATCAGTCCAAACCTGTGTGGTGGTTCTGTCTGAGAAGAAACTTCTGCTGCTGCTGGGTTACTCCTAACCAAGACTGGTTTCCCAGTAGAGGTCCCAGCATGGCTGCAGGGCCATCTCTGCTGGCACAGGAGAGGATTGGTGGGGACCAAGAGGAGGAGAAAGGGCAGCAGCTTATTTAATCAGGCACTGCCCATAAGAAAGTATGTATTTTGTACTATTTAGTGGGGAAAGTACTATAAAACAAGTTTTTCTAAGCCAAGGCAAAAGAGAAAGAAGCCAGCACAGTGGGAAGGAAATGAGTAAATGGGGACAGAGAATCTTATATGTCTGGAAGCAGACAAGTGAGAGAAGACAAAACACATGATCTCCTCTCAAAACACATGATCTCCTCCCTTTTGGCAGGGACAAGCTATTTATGCTGGCCCAGCTGCCCCTGAAATGACAGGCTGGGACTGAGAGCAGGAGGAAGTGGGAAATACAGTGAGAAAGGCCAGAGAAGGACACTTGAGGAGGGAGTTTCAGAGAAGCTGGGCAAAGAGCAGAAGGATGGAAAATGACATTAGGGTGGTAGAGAAATTAAAGCTTGAAAAAGGAGGTCTAGTCCAAGGCTGAGACAAATCTGGGAAATTATTGTTTTGGAGGGAACAGAGAAGAAAACTTAATGTTGGAAAAACAAGCAAAAGAGTCTGTATTCACTGGGGGCAGCTCCTCTGTACAACTCCTCTGCTGCTGCTTCTCCATCAGCAGGTACCACTTAATATCTTTAAGTCACTGAACGGTGCAGTGGTGAAGAGCCCACACAGAAATGCAGATCTCCATCCTGAGGTTTGAATAATGCACCGTAAAGAGGCCTGCAGCTCTAACCTGGGCAGGGAGAAAGCAAACCACTGAGCAGATACTCCTTAGAACAGTCATTAACAGCAAGCAGAGTTCATCTTCTGCCTCTTTGAAAGAGCCCAGACCATTTCACCTGGGTTCATCTCTGAGGGAGTTCACACCTGAGGGACAAGGACCATGTAATAATGTACTGTGACACCAGGGCAGAATTGACAGAGATTAAGAGGCTGAATTAAGTCTGTACACATAATCCCATTTCCTGCATTTCTTAGAAAAGCATGTCCCAATACATTAGAGTAAGCAGATTCCGAACCATCATTTCTAATAACACTTCATTTTTTGGCCAAGAAAACTATTTAGGCCAAACCCCCTTCTCTCCACCATGCAGGTGAATGTTAGAAAAGCTGTTTGTGATTTATTGAACACCTTCAGCTACCAGTCAGTAAAGTTATGAACACTTAAGCATATTTGCTCAGGTCCAAGCCTTCCAGCTGAGATCCCTGGCCATGTGCCTCCCTTCAAAGAAGCCTCCAAGAATTTCACCATAAGTGAAATTTCAACCTAGTCTTTTTTTATTTTTTTCCTCTTTTTTTTTCTCTTGTGTCACAGTAAGAATAATCTCTTTTTCAGAGGAATAACTTAGCTTTTCCCTCATAGTTCTCAGAGCGGGTCTAGGTAAGGATAAATGACATTAAAAATGAGGAAACCCATGTCCAGCTCAGTGAATCACAACACCTCCCTAAACCACACTGAAAATGAAGCTGCTGGCAAAACGTTCTTTAAACTTCTGTAGGAGTACTGATAAAAAGCAAACACGGAGTACAGTTTTATCTGATTTACTCCTTCCAAAGTTGTGCAAGGTTTCTACACTTCTGTAAACAAATACTGCAACCTGCCTGGACTTTCATCAGCAGCATTACCTTGGGCAAAACCCAGTACCAGTGCACATTTATACCTCTGATGGACAAGGATAAAAATGGGAATTGGTACCTATTAGGAAAATGTACCACTGGTTTGCCCCAGAAGTTGTCTAAATCTTTTCAACAGATACAGCTGGAAAAGAACCAAGTCATGCACCTACACACACCCCTACTCCAAAATATCTGAACTTCTTTCACCTTTGTTCTTTCTGTTATTGTGTCCATGTAGCCTAACAAAAGCAACTTTTCACATGGCAATGAGTCACCCACACATGGTAGAGAAGATGAGACTTTCTCCTACCACAAAAGCAATGATCTTTGTTTATGCCAACATGGTGTGATGTGAGTACTGCCAGGATGAAAAGAGGTAAACCCTGGTCCAGCAGAAAAAAGGATCATCTCCAAAAGGAGGGCTTGTGTTTATTCAACACTGCCCATGAGTGCTACCAAAGACAAGGAAACCCTGTGCAAAAATTATACCTAGTCTTATATTTGAGCTATTCTTAACAGTAACTATGCCTGATGTTTTAAGGACAGTGTGAATTTAAGCTTTTTGTCATGCAAAATGAATACACTCAGAAATGACATGGCTTATTTATGTACCTGCAGGCTATTTCTTGGAAATTACATAGTAATTTATGCCAGCCATGGGAACATTGCTAATGTAACACCATGTTATCTCCTTATAACAATGTAAATGCCTCAGATCACCAAAGTATTTGATAACATCTCTGAGATAAACGTGCCATCCATGTGTCATTCCAACAATGGAGGATGGATGTTGCAGCAAGGCAATTTGCATTCTTGCAAATGTACCAAAGTTCAAAAAATATAATAGGTGACAAAAAAATAGCAAAAGGAATAGAAAGACATATTGGGATGAAGCGTGTGTTTCTGTGGGGACAAATTAGTAGTGTGTGTCTGATGCTGCAGCAGTGGAAGAAAACTAAACTAATTCTTTAATTTACAAAAACTGTTCCAGGATAAAGGACCAAGGTTTTACCAAATCCAAATAGCATTATTCCAAAATTACTGTACAAACAGTTCAAACTAATATTGAGTTTCAGGCAGAACAAGTCTGACATGGACATACATTGTACCAAAGTTCAAAAAATATAATAGGTGACAAAAAAATAGCAAAAGGAATAGAAAGACATATTGGGATGAAGCGTGTGTTTCTGTGGGGACAAATTAGTAGTGTGTGTCTGATGCTGCAACAGTGGAAGAAAACTAAACTAATTCTTTAATTTACAAAAACTGTTCCAGGATAAAGGACCAAGGTTTTACCAAATCCAAATAGCATTATTCCAAAATTACTGTACAAACAGTTCAAACTAATATTGAGTTTCAGGCAGAACAAGTCTGACATGGACATGCATCAGTTCTTACAGCTGGTCTCTTGGCACCTCTGTGTAGAGCACAGGAGCTTTTCTGGCATTGCTCTCTGCCCACAGCCTGGTGCAGAGCAGGAAGCAGCAGCTCCAGGACCAGCCAGGTACCAAAGTGTGGTCCTGCCCTCCCCACCCTTCACTGTCTGGCACCCAGGCACATCTCAATGCCCAGGAAGCAGCAGCTCCAGGACCAGCCAGGTACCAAAGTGTGGTCCTGCCCTCCCCATCTTCACTGTCTGGCACCCAGGTACATCTCAATGCACTCTACACCTGGAAGTCCTTGCTCCCATCATAGCTCAAATTGTGTGTTTGCTCTGTGATGTCTAAAACAGACTTGTTAAATTCAATTAACAGCAGCTCACCAGTAGTACAAAAGCTTGTCTGGAGTGCCTGAACTAAGCTCAGTCAACAGAACCCTGGAAATTTTTTATTACCTTCAAAAGTCCCTAAATCCCACCAATATACATATTTTTTTGACAAACATTAGAAAAACATCAAACAGTACTAAATAATAAATGTAAAGGAGATGATTGTATGAGGCAGTGAAATCCCTTGCTAGCTAAAATGTAGACACAGAAAGGATTCTGAATTAGGAAAGAGGTAATGACCAAAAATAAAAGAGAAACAAACATGGTGAAGCATTCTGGAAAAGTACATTGGCATCCCAAAGCAAATACAAGCTCAAGTTCAATCAAACAGAGTCATAGAAATGTTATGTTCCTTTATCAAGCACTTTAAAAAGCTGGCAAGTGTGTGAGGTGTGGAAGTTGTCTGCATGATGAATTTCAACCTGGAGAAAATCTTCCCAGGCTGAGGCTTAAAGCATGAGTTCAACATGACTTTTCCATTAAAAAGATTAAACTTTTCTGCAGATGTTTTGAGAAGACATTAAAGTGTTTACAAAAAGAATGCAAATAATGAATGCAAATACACAAAAAGTAAGCTTGTTTACAAATAGGAGTTGGGGAATTTTAGGTTAAGAGAGAGGTTATTTGGGTATCAAAACACACACAAGTTTGATCTTAATTAACTTGTACCTTCTCAACCCTATGAAGAATCCATTGTCTGAGACAGCATTATAAGGTCAAAATAAAAATGTGAGAGAATGATGCTAGAAAAGACTACAGGCCAAGAAAGTCCTTTATTTTCAGTCTAAGGTCTCAGTCCAGAGAGCTGTTCTACAAGGGCAGGCTCCATATCAGCACTGTGATTCATCCAGGCAACACAATTTGCAGGATCAAAGATTTCAGAAAATTCTGAGTCTATGGGCATCACCTGAGAAGCTCCCAACCTTTCAGGCAGCACAGACCAAAGTTCTCAGGGCACATCCTAAACCTGTGAATCCCCATGACTTTCAGTGGCAGCTTAAGCTACCCCCAGCAAGCTCCTCTTTCCTCTACAAGCCTCTGCATGATGCTGAGATTGTGCTGAGGATGTTCATGGATCAGACCAAGAAGATGACTTATCTGGAGGGCTGAGGTATTTTTCAGCTGGATCAGTGCAGTTGTGTTCCTGCTCTGCTGGCATGTCATTGAGGTGGCGCAGGGTAGAGAAAAACAGGCAAGAGAAAAGAGCATCTCTCTACAATGTATGAAAACAAGGTGCAACATTTCATTTCATTCCTGCTGTCAAAATATTTCCTACCAGCCTCCAGGCTACTCCTGCTCAACAATCCCATGATGCAGCAGGAAAATACTCACCACCAGCAAGAGCTTCCTCTCTTGCAGAGTCATCATCACTGGGCTGAAGAATATTCCAGGATGTCAAAGCAAGTGACGAAATGTCTTCAGCAGATGATAACTTCAGCATGTCCATGTGATTGCTCTGAGGTTTGTAACGGGGGATGAAACACTCCTTGCCTTGCTTAAAAATGTCCTTAATGATTTCTTCTGTCTGGACTTCATCTGGCATGCTCAGGAAGATTGCAATTCTTTTGGATTCTTGGTACTTGGGATGGTCAATCACCTACATGGGAAATTGACACAACTGGTTTATGAAAAGCTTTTGGAAAGATCAACTTACTTTCATTTAACACAAAACTGGAGCAAAATATTTATTGAAAAGGGTAGAGATACCAACTTTGATGGATCATAAACAGAATAAACTGACTTCTACCATCAGCAAAATCAAAATAGGCAAATTTTTGCATCTAGTGAACTAAACACTACAACACAAATTTGGGCCAGCAAAAAACAATTTTGCAGACAATCTTCCAATCCCCTAAAGATCTGCACCATACAGTGCAGACATCCTCAGATGCCCAGCATCACTGCAGAAAGATACAGCAGGCCAGAACTGCCAGCTTATGCAAGCCAAGAGGGTTTAGCATTCCTTTTCTTCCATCCATTTTACAGGCTGCATTGCTCATCTGGGCCTAGGCAGAGCGGGAAGTGCCTCAGAGATAATAACTCAAAGGAAAATCAGCACCACAGCAGATGACTGTGGAGCACAAAGTCTTCCAAGAACAGGCCCCTCTTTCTTTTGTTAACCTGAATGTCTTCCCTGCAGCAGGATGGGATATATGCCTTCAAACATCACCTGCTTCTAACAGGTGATCTTATTACTGCACATTTTTCAGAGCTCAAAGGAAAGATGGCCTTGCCATTTTTTGCTTTTCATGAGACTCTGTGCTGGGCTTATAAAAGGTTGAATATAGGAGGGAAAATAAAAAATGCTTATATGGTGAAAAAGTGTTAGCAGACTCATACCTCACTTGTCTCTGCCCATTCCAGATTGAATTCCACATTAAAATTTGAAAGGAGGCTTTTAAAAGCTTGTCTTCTCATTCTCTAGCACCTTATATATTTTGTCACTTACATCTGGACAAAACAAATATAAATGTGTCCCTACTCACTTAATGTGATTTACTCTTATTCTACACACTTAGACAAAAATCTGTTAATGATATCAGACAATTGAGAAACTCTCTAGTGTCTACAGAACAGAGATCCCCAGATGCCCTGCTCAGTGTTTGTATAACTGCAGGGTAACTCACTCTTATCAGCTTTAGCCTTTGCCCTGGTCTTGCTTTGAGACACAAATGCCCACATCTGAGTCAAGATATGGTTCCCACTACATTTTTTATTTTCTTTCCATCACAGCAGTTAAAAACCCAAGTGAAATATTCAGAAGACAGACGTAATTTTGCAAGGGGAAAAAAAATAAACACTCCAGACTAAATGAGGGTGTATGTGTTGCTTGGCCACAGAAACATTTTAACAATTCCAAACCATATTTTATTTCCTTTTCTATCTGCCTAATCCTACACATGGATTTTTCCACAGGATTAAGCTCTCAAAAGACCAGAATTCCATGGTAGCATTTGCTGCAAAAAGCAGACTATTTAGTCCAGTAGACTCTTTTATCCAGAAAACAGCTCATGTTGAGGGCCTCCAGAGCCAAAACCTCTCATGGGTTTGGTGAAGAGAGAAACTGAGACACGTTCAGACATGGGCTGTGTGCTGTGGGCACCACACGGGTCCCATCCACCCTGATCTATCCAGTAACACATTAATGAGACTGTATAGGAACAAAAATGAGGTTGAAGATGCAAACCCACATGTGAGCAGGAAGACACAATTTCAGATATTCTCAGAATTGTGTAGATGCTCATGCTATGACTCGGAGCAGTTTCTGAGAAGACTGAAAAAATTTCCACGCTTCACAAATATTATCTGTCTTTTGTTCACCAGCTGATGGAAATTTTTTCAGAATCAGAGCATGCAAATAGCATGACTTTAATCATGAACATAAGCATTAAAAAAGAGTAATCACCCAGAAGCTAATTAAATACTGGTGGCTAGGTCAGCCTGTGAATCTATTTCATTTTGAATTTAAAGATTATTTTGAAATGAGATTTTTCCACTAAAAATATTACTCAGGTGTTGTAAAATAACCTGCTCACTTTAATTAGCTACAAGCACTGATGTATGTTACAAAGCTACGTTTTTTACCTTATATAATTCCAAACATTTTCTCAGGCTGTTCCAAAATTTCTCCATGCCTGCTGTATTAGCCACCCCCCATGAGGAAGCCAACTCTACTTTCTGCCACTTCCACAGAGCCACTCTGTCTCAAGCAAGCACAAGATTTTCAATTTGTGTCAGATTAAGAAAAGGGCAAGATAATATCAATTTATGTCATATTTCCTGATGCCTTATTTTAAGCAAAACAAAGGCTGTATCTTTTAGAGGAGAAATGAGTGCTGTGCTGCTGTGTTTGTCAGCAATAGTTAGACAAAGGCTGAGGGCTCCTAAAAATTCAGTACTACATGGGCTAGGTGCTTAAAAGTTGGCTGAGGACTCTGAATTTTTGAAGGGGATGCATACCAGTATTTGCTAAAATTCAAGATATTCAAGTCTAGGATGTATGATTACTATAATGCATTATCATGAGAGCAGGACACTACATACAGATATGTTTTTAAAATGCATCCCAAGTTAAAAAAAGGGTTATGTAAATTCCAGTTAAAACTTCCTACAACTTAAAGTTTCTGTGCTGCCACATCCCACTCATGAAGTGGCTACACATTAGTAGTAAATGAAGTCTATAAAGTGATTTGAGAGCCTCTGGCACGAAAATAACCATATAAATGTAGATCATCTAGAAGTACCCGCTGGTGCTGCAAAAAAAATGAGGACTGTGTTCTATTACATGCAGTGACTGCAAAATAAAATTTTATTATGTTTATTAAAATGATAAAATACATCCATATAAAAACTGTGTAATCCAAACACAAACAGGACATTTCAAAAGTACATACCCATATCACTCTGTGCTAGGATACCAGTTAGGCAAACCCTGCTTGATATCTTTTAGAGTGTGGAAATTATATCAGAAATAAAATTGTGTGGAAGAAACACCGCTGGAAGATACAGAAGGGAGAAGACAGAACATAAAACAAGAGGCCAAATCAGGCAGTGGCTGGGTTTTGTATGTATGGCCAGAGCCAGGCTGGTGTGAAATGTCTCAGATAAACACCTGCCACCACCCCTGAGGAGCCCTGCTTCGGTGTGTGGCAGTCTGCCCCAATTGTCCCCAAAATCCAAGGGTGAAGTGAGACCAGCACCCTACAGGTGAAATGTCTCAGATAAACACCTGCCACCACCCCTGAGGAGCCCTGCTTGGGGTGTGAGGCAGTCTGCCCCCATTGTCCCCAAAATCCATGGGTGAAGTGAGACCTGCACCCTATGGAAGAAGTGTCCCCAGCACCAGGGCGAGATGTGACCACTGCTCCAGGCTGATGTCCCCAGCTCGCAGGGGCAAAGGATGACCACCCACGGGTGAAGTGTCCCCAGCACCAGGGTGGTGTGTGACCGCCACTCCGGGATGAAGTGTCCCCAGCACCAGGGTGATGTGTCACCACCCACGGGTGAAGTGTCCCCAGAACCAGGGTGGTGTGTGACCGCCACTCCGGGATGAAGTGTCCCCAGCACCAGGGTGATGTGTGACCACCGCTCCGGGATGAGGCGTCCCCAGCACCCCCGCTTTAGCCGGTGCCACCAGCAGTTCCTGTCTCCCCGGCGCTGCCGAGGAAGACACGAGGCCCGGCTCCGAGGCGGAGCTCACCCCCGCTCGGCGGAAGGGCCCCTGAGTCACGGTTTCGATCACCGGCGGGGCCTGGAAAGTCCCGGCCGCGCTTCCCGGCGAGCCCTTCCCTGGCCGTGCCCGGCTGTCCGCACCCACCTTGCGCCCGAGCAGGCGGGACTGGCGCTGCTTCTCGGCCGCGCCGAGCGCCCGCAGGCGCTGCCGCAGCTCCGCCCGCAGCTGCCGCTT